CCCTTTTTTGCCATTTCTACTAACTCCATAGATCATTGAAGCCATTTTACTTCTACCTATGTTTTTAGCTATAAACTTTTGAAAGTTGTGATCATACTCCTTGATGATCTCATCAGCACTGCTGGGAGTTTCAGAGATTGTTTCCTTATGAGAGTTTTGCAATAGATTTTCTAATTTTGAAATTTTATCTTTTAACTCAGAATTCTCCAATTTGAGACTCTCAGTCTTATCAGAGTCAGAAGTAAGATTCCTTTTCAGGTTTCTGAATTTGACTCTGATCTGCTGATATCTTTCCAGAATTTCATTAAGGCTTTCAGCTAGTTCAGCCTTAGTAAAGTTTATAGCAAAGTCAGGGAATACCTCTTCTGTATCTGATTCAGAGTCTGACTCAGAAGCTTCACTGTCTTCTGTTATGTTTGCCATGAGAGTTATGTTTGCTCTTTCATCATCTGATTCTGAGTCAACTTCAGATGTGTCAGAATCATCCCATGTAGCCATGAGACTTTTCTTCTTTTCCTTGCCAAACTTCTTTTTGGGATTTTCCTTCTGAAGCTTTGGGCAATCACTTTTATAGTACCCTTGCTCGTTACATTCGTAGCAGATGATGTCTTTGTTGTTTGGCTTTCTGTTCCCTGAAGAACCTTCAGATCTTCTGTGTCCAGAGGAGGATTCTGACCTTCTGTATCTGGAGAAAGATTCATTCTGATTCTCTGATCTTCTGGGATTCCTGAACTTCCTTTGCCTCTGCTTCCATAATTGGTTCACCCTTCTGGAGAGGAGAGATAGTTCATCTTCTTCTGATGAAGACCCATCAGAGGTTTCTTCTACAACCTACAAAACTTTGGAGTCAGATTTTCTGTTAGATTTTAAAGCTAATGGCTTACCTTGCTTTTGAGGTTCATCTGCTTCTAGCTCTATCTCGTGACTTCTGAGGGAGCTGGCAAGTTCCTCTAGAGAGATTTTGTTGAGATCCTTGGCTAGCTTAAGCACTGTGACCATTGGCCTCCACTGTTTTGGCAAGCTTCTGATGATCTTCTTAACATGATCAGCAGTGGAATACCCTTTGTCAAGAACTTTTAGACCAGCAACAAGAATTTGAAATCTTGAAAACATAGTCTCTATTAATTCACTCTCTTCCATCTTGAATGCCTCATACTTCTGAATGAGCGCAAGAGCTTTGGTTTCTTTGACTTGAATGTTGCCTTCATGCGTCATTCTCAGAGAGTCAAACATATTCTTTGCAGTGTCTCTGTTTGATATCTTTTCATATTCTGAATAAGAGATGGCGCTGAGAAGAATTGTTCTGGCCTTGTGATGATTTCTGAAATCACGCTTTTGCTGATCAGACATTGCTTTCCTGTCAATCTTCTGACCACTTCCATCCACTGGGTGTGTGTATCCATCAGTCACCATGTCCCACAGATCAGCATCATGGGCCAGAAAGAAGCTTTCAATTATGTCTTTCCAGTAGTCAAAGTTCTCTCCATCAAAGACTGGAGGTTTGCCACTGAATCTGTCTCTTTCTTCATTGTTGTCATTGTTGATGTTTTGATGTGGTCCTGCCATTGTGTTTTTCTGACGCTGGATCTTGTACTGACACGATTAAGTGTTATAAGCTCAGAACCAGGCGCTCTGATGCCAATTGAAGATGTGAAAAACACAAGAAGGGGGGTTGAATTGTAAAACTTTAAATCAAATGAGCAGACAACACTGTATTTTTATCCTGATTCGTTTGATCTCAAACTACTCCAATCCACCCGTCAAGGTGATTTCACCTCTCTCCAACGAGGTCTTAATCCACTATATTCAAAAGAATACAACAACTGCTTTAACAATTGTTAAAGCCTTCTTGAGTATAACCACAACCCGGTTTATCTAAAGGAGATCTCTTTACAATTATTTGAACAAATAATGTGTTTGATGTTTTCTAATAAAACAGTATACCACAATTGTGATAATACACAAATTTAAGCTTAGAATGAAAACTGAATTGCTAATGCGTTTGAATGAGCGTGGTTGGAAAGCTTAGCAATTTGTATGAGTGCGTGCATGTAGATTATTAGCCTTTTCTTTTCTCACACTGACTTGTTTATATAGCCAAGGCAAAGATACGTTGTTGTCCATAAATCACTTTCAATGATAATAACGTTCTTTCCTTTTTGAGAAGATCTTGTCTTTGAATAAATTCGTTGGTAATTAATCTGCCTTGAATGCTTAGTAACGCTTCAGAGTGTTCTCTGCTTATGGTAATCAGAGTGTTCTTTGCTTTAGGTTATGCTGACGCTTCTGAGTGCTGATGACTTGGTAAGGATCTTGATCAGAATCAGAGTATTTTGTGCGCAGATTCTGGTCATCAGGCTTCAGCGTATGATCTGGTAACTTCAGCGTGTAGCACATGATATTGATCTTCTGATACTGACATATCTTCTGATGCTGATGTTGATACTGATCTTCTGATGCTGATTCCATCAGAACTTCTGTAAATACACAATATAATTTTAAGTAGCATATATGTCTTATATATAAATCTTACAATTTATTTATTCTTATATTTTGTTATCATAAAAACTCTAATTGAGGGTTGTAGAATCAAACTTTGTTCTAACAGAATCTTGTTTGTATGATATAAGTTGTCCACTATTTTGTTTTCAACGTTGTTGTTTCTGATAACTTGAGCATAAGTATTCATCCGCACACCACCATCTATATTTGTAACATTTTCTTCATGCTCCTTCCTTAATCCGCTCGTATTAGTTCTCTCTGCACCCATCGGTCTTTGGTTTGTATCACCTCCATTATCTCGCTTTGTGTCTCGGTTAAACTTTAGAATATTCACACGTATTTTCCTTGATCTGATTGATGATATTATCAAGTTTTATAGTCATCATATTTTCATCCTTAACATTAAAGAACCTTACAAAGCCAAACCTCTTGCCTCTCTTATCTTTCCTTGGTGGAATAAGGACTTTATCTATTTCACCAAAATCCTTGAACACAACATTCATTTCTTTAGCGCCAAAATCGTCTGAAATCTCAGTGAAAAAAATGAACTTGTTGAGGTTGTTGCCTCTAAACCCATCTTCCTCCTTCCTCTTTCATTGTCCCACGCCTTTTTCCTATCCACGGATGGTTCCTCCTCCTCCTAGATTTTATCCATTCTTTAAAAGCATATCTTGAGTCGTCATGATATATGGTGAAAACAGCACGCTTAGAATCTGATTTTTTGACAAAATGTGAATTTCAATGATTTTTAATAATTTGATGGTTTTGTGTTTAATGGTTTTTAAGTCAGTGATTAGAAGAGAGAAATCGAACTAGGGATGTCAGTTTGGACCTGTTAATGGGGATCCCCGCGGGGAACGCCCCGTTCGGGGCCCCAAAGATGGGGAATTTTCCCCCGTGGGGGCGGGGATGGGGAGAAAAATTCCCCCGAGAGCATTTCGGGGACGGGGACGGGGAATACACCCCCCGCCCCGCCTATTATTTTAATATAGTTAATTTAATATATATATTTTAGATTAGGTTTTTTAGTCATTTCCTTTATGTTTATTTATAAAAATAAATAAATAAATATTCATGTATTTATTAAGAGAGAGAAATGTAAATATTAGACCCTAAAATATTAGACCCTTAAAAAAATAAAATATTAATGAATAAATGTAGGATCTATGGGGATCCCCGCGGGGAACGGGGAACGGGGATGGGGATAGAAATTCCCCCGTGACGGAGATCGGGGACGGAGACGGGGAATGAATTTGATGGCGGGGAAAAAGATGGGGAAGTGTCCCCCCGGCCCCGCCCCGCCCCATTGACATCCCTAAATCGAACCCTCTCTCTCTTTATTGCCTTCACATCTTCCAATATCTAAAATCCTATAACTTCAATGTAATATAAACACCTCTAAAGATTATCTTAAAATATTTCATTTGATACTCCTTTAACTTATAATAATTAGATTTTAATAAAATTAAAATGTAGAATAAATAAACATGATAACATGAACCTATTAAACTTCATTTGAAGGACTTCTTTCTCTCATAATACTTCACTTTGAGGTCTTCACACAATTCATACTATTTCAAAACTAGAAAATAACTATAAATCTTTAGTCTTGACTAATATTAAAGAAGATTGGATGTGATTGAAACAAACACAATTCTTGCACGGCAAATACCCCATTTAAGAAGCATAAAATCCCTTACCTCTTAAAGAAAAACCATCAATCTGATCCTTCGTCTTTTGAAAATAACAGTCCAACACAAACATAGAAAAGTAGCGGTTTATAACCTTTATTTTCTTTATTTCAAATAGTAAAAATAACTCAACACAATTGTTTTTGATAGAGATGAGATCTAAAGGAACTAAAGCCAAATTTTACATAAATTTATCTTTTAATGGAAACTTCTAATACATTCCTGATTCCATATTATTTAGGCAATTTAACGATTAGAGACGCAATAATATTCGTCAACTCCTAATATGAAGATTGTATACTTAAAATGGAAAAGAAATCTTACTATTTATAAGTTAAAAGAGAAAAATAAATTGTTTAATTATTTTTTCTTAGTTACACTTGTAATTCATTTAATATTGTTATATATCATATAAATTTTTTATAATAAAAAAATACATTTTAAAAATATAAAATCAAAGCATATCAAAGCTCAAAGAATTAAATCTATACTTATTAGGTATGATAAATTTGTAATTTAGAATTGTACCAAATATAAATAAATTGGTAATTTAAAAGTCAAGACAGCGATAGCTTGCTGTAGCTGGGACCCATCCAATCCAATCATCCCATTTTCTATTCTCACCCCCCTTATCTGTTTTTCCCTTCTTCTTCTTCATTCCTTTTTTTTCATTTCCATATCTCAAATCAATTGAGATCCTCTTCATCTCAAAATTGAAACCTAAACCCTAATTCCAATTCAACCATGACAAACACAAAGATTCAATTTTGAATCCCTTTCTCGATTCATTCAATAACCCTCTCTCCAATGGGTGCAGCTTCAATGATTTGGAATCCAGACCTAATCCACTACCTATCCATTTCAAAATCCACAACAATTCTCGCTCACCACATCAAAAATTCCAAAGATTCATCCACCATAGAAACATTAGCATCAAAATGCTTACAAAATTGCCCTCCAAACCACTCCTTCTTCTCCCACACCGTCAAAAATCACACCTACACTTTCCTAATCACACCCCCCTTCGTCCTCTTCGCAATCTTCGATCACAACTTTCTCAAACCCCACGCTCTCGCTCTCCTCAACCATATCAAAACCTCCCTCATCGAAACCCTCGACAAAAATGACACCTTTACCCCTTTCTCCCTTCAGCCCCAATTCGATTCCGTTCTCAACGAAACCCTACATGTCTACGACCTTTATTCTAATTCCAGTAGCTCGGCGATTTCGCCGACGACTTCGCGAACGCTCCTCGTGAAACCTGACGAAGGATTGAAGAAAAAGAAGAGAGTTCTGGATGATGGTAGAGAAGCTGCCATGGTGGATTTGTCTTCGGATGATAACAGTTCGTTGCCGTTTTCGAAGATCAACGATCGGCAGAAAGCCAAGCATATATGGAAGAAACATGTGTGGGTTGTTTTGATGCTTGATTTGTTTGTTTGCGCTGTTTTGTTTGTGATCTGGTTATGGGTTTGCAGCGGTTTCAAATGCATGGCTTATTGAAACAATGATTCAAACAAGAAGAAAAAAATGGAAACTTTTTACTTTCTGTTATGTTTTTTTGTCTCTTCTCTGAAGGGATTGTTAGCTTCTGGTTTAATCAACAGTTTAATGGGGGATAACCGGTTTCTGTATGTAAATGGGGTTTTTGGGTTGCTTATTTTTTCATCAGTTTTTTTATGTTGTTTTTTCTTGATGGAAATTGCAATCTGAAGATCTCTGTATTTTCCGGACCCTGGTTTGATTATGTAATGTCTCATATACTTATATGAGAATTTGCATTTGCTCAATTGTTCAAAATTATGAATTACTACATATTGAGCTTTTTTTTATGACGTTTGTTGCCTATTCTGGTTTTATTTCATGCACTTTTTCAGTTTAGTTATTGGGTTAGCTTAGTAGTATTTGTTATGTGTCATGTTTGAGGGATGAACATTTGTTTGAGGAAATAACATGCTGCTTTGTTCTTGAGGTTGGTTTGGGAGGACTTGGGAATGGAGATTTTAGTTTTTTTTAATGGAACTGACATGTTGAAGTATGAAGTATTGTTTGTATGTGGTGTTTGTATAAGGTTTGGTCTGTGTTTAGTCGACATAGAAATCGAGTTTCAAAGAATCAGCACATGTACAAGTAACATGTTATGGGCGTAGAAACACAAGATAAGATGGAGACGCACTTAATACTTATAAAAAATAAAAATACTGCAATAGTTGTGACGGATCCAAGGAAGGAACCATTTTTTTTTTCAAAAATATATTAGAGGCTCTTTAAATTATTTTTTTCAATAATTTGTTTTTTTTTAACTATTTAAATGTATGGATCATTATTCTTTTTTAACAGCAAAAATATATTAACTATTTATGCAATTGTTTTGAGTAGTATGAAAATGATGACGTTTAATTAAAAAGATAATAATCAATATTTTTAAATGTTTAAAATATAAAAAAAAAAGTAGAAATTACCAAAAAATACCAAATTGTTACCGAAAAATTTTTAAATGATCAATATATTATAAAAAAATAATTTAAAGGACCTTGATGTAACTTTAATTTTTTTTTTTAATAAGGAGAAGGAACCATATTAAATACATTAGTGTTTGAACAATCCCTTCTAAACTTCTAGTTTTAACAGCAACAAAAAAAAGTCAATCAAGAATTTAATATAGAGAACTTAAAAAAATACATTCTGAATTTTAGAATCTGCAAAATTTCTAAAATACATATTATTTTTTTCATTTAATATATTTCATCAGATTTTAGTAGATTCGACATTAGAGAAGAAGATTCAAACTATAATTATTATTGTTGTATTCAGAAACATGAGATAAAGGAAGTGTTGGAAAAAATGAGTAGCGATAAGGCAGTTGGGCCAAACAACATATCTATTGAAGTGTCAAAAAATCTTGGAAGCAGAGATATCGAGTGGTCCACTAAACTCTTTAATAAAATTATGAGGTCAAAAGGCATGCCGGATAAATGGAGAAGAAACACTTTAGCTCCAATCTATAAGAACAAGGAGGATGTACAAAGTTGTGCAAATTATAAGGGAATTAAGCTTATGAGTCATACCATAAAATTATGGGAAAGAGTGAATGGACGAAGATTAAGAAGAGAAACTCAAGTCACCAAGAATCAATTTGACTTTATGCTGAGAAGGTCAACCATAAAAGCGATTTATCTATTACAGCGTGTGATGAAGAAGTACCAGATGGAACAATAAAATTTGCACTTAATTTTTATTGACCTAGAGTGTCTAAAGAGATTTTGTGGAAAACCCTAGAGAAGAAAGAAGTTAAGATTGCATATATTCGAGCTATCAAACATATGTATGAAGGGGGTATTAACTATTGTTCGGCACATGATAGAGAGACAAACGATTTTCTCATTACAATTGATTTGCATCAAGGATCAACCTTAAGTTCTTACCTTTTTATCTAAATTTTGAATGTACTCATGGAACACATTCAAGAGCTAGCACCGAGATACATGCTTTTTGCAGATGATATAGTCCTTCTTTGAGAGTCGAAGGGAGTGTAAATGAAAGGTTGAAAACTTGGAGACGAGCTTTAGAAAGACATAGTTTTCTCCTAAGCAGAAGAAAAGCTGAGTATATGGAATGTAAGTTCAACAGAAGAAGAAGTGTTTCTAACCTAGAGCTGAAAGTTGGAGACCATATTATCCTTCAAGTCAACTGGTTTAAATATCTTAGTCCGTAATATATAATGATGGAGAAATAGAAGAGGTGCAAACCATCGAATTTAAGTTGGATGGTTGAAATGATTAAAGGCGTTCGGTGTTTTATCTTATGCAAAGGTACCACTCAAACTGAAGATAAAGTTTTATCAAACTATGGTAAGACCTGTAATTTTATACATGATACGATGTTGGACGGTTAAGTATCAACACAAGAATAAAGTAAGTGTAGTAGATATGAGGATGTTGTAATGGATGTGTGGTAACACTCGACATGATAAAATTAGAAATGAAATTATTATGGAGATTGTCGGGGTAGCGCCTATAGTAGAGAAGATGTTGAAAACTATACTTAGATGATTTGCGCATGTAGAGAGAAGACATGTGGATTTTGTAGTAAGGAAGGTAGACCAGATGAATAGAAGACAAACAATTTAAAGAAGATGAAGACTTTAAAAGACTATAAGAGAAGTTATTAAGAAAGATGTCGAGATTAATGATTTAGACTGAAACATGATCCTTGATAGAAAATGTTATGACAAAAATTGATCCATATAATTGATTCCATCTAATAGAATAAAGCTTTATTTTTGTAAATATACTTTTAATTCTTCTATTTTAATTTTAATAAAATCGCACCCTTTTATTTTAAACTCCAACCTTTTTCTTTTTAATAATTTCTAAGATTTTTCGATTATCTTAATTTTTGCGTGTAATATATAATTTGATGAGTAAGATAAAAATTAAATAACATAATTAATCAACATTTATTGCATAGAACATATGAATGAAATATGCTGCTTTAATCTTTATTAAAATTAGAGTCACATTTAATTCATTCTAATAAAATTAATTTGACGGATGAGGGATGACATCCTATTATAATTTTTTTTAATTTATCTCTAATTAATAAATAATTTGGAGTCTTAATAGTGTTCAATCTCTTACAATAAGACTAATGATGATAAAATGGGCGGTCCGTCCCATTTAAATTCGCAACGTTTAAGTCTGTCTAAAAATGGAGCGGACCAACTTAAATTTCTGAATTCAAAAATTAAGTCTTCTTCATTTACTAACAAATCCAATTAAGAATTTACACAAGACAAACAATAATAACAATTACACTACATAAAACTTCAGTGTATAAAATAGTAGTGCATAAAATATAACACATGACTTTCTCAAATATTTACATCATATAAACTCTTATACTGAGCGATTTCTTAATAGTTAAATCATAAATTTATCACACATATATACTAATTAAATTCTTCATTTTCTTAAAATCAACATCTATTTCTAAAGAAAACATGTGAGTTAATGTATTGATAATTTAATAATTTTGCATATATTTCATACACAACACATTTATCATTTTACTAAAATTTATTTATTTTTGAATAATTTATTTTATTTATATAGTTGTATTTTAATGAACTATTATTATTAATCTATTATAGTTATTTGTTTCTCTCTAATTCAATTATTTATTTATTAAATAATTATTTTACAAATTTATAATATTAAAATTAATTATCTATAAATTTATGTTTTTTATATGTTGTTAATTTTATAAATAAATTATTATATTTAATGCTAAATAAAAGTTATTATTATAGTTTTATCTTATTAATTTAATAATTCTATAAACATAAAAGTAATTTTTAATAAATATTTTAAAATGAAAAAAAAGAAGAGAAAGGTGATACGTGTGGAGTTGTGATGGGTACTTTTAATTGTTGATAGTGAGTAGTGTTAATAAATAATAATGATAATTGATCTGGACTGAGTCCGCACTTGCTCCACTGTTGAAGAGGCTCAATCCAACACTCTTGCATAAGATCTAAAAACAAGCAATTCAAGATGGGATCGTTGGGCAACTCCCCACCCGTCCGTTGGGAAACATGGCCCACGTGTCTGTGTCATTGTCATCATAATTGTCTTCTGGGAATCACGGGTCCAACACCTATTCTCTCGTAGCAGTTGACCAGAGGAGAGTCTACATGCTGGACTCCATACACACGTAGACCCTGATAGTCTCCATTGTTTGCCCGAGCATTGAAAAGTCCATGCCTTTACTCGAAGTGAATTCCATCGGGAACGATTCATGCTGGATGACCCCGGTGTTCAATTTTCTAACGAAAGGAGAACTCCCCCTGGACCAAAGGGAGTCAATCGCGACCAAACGACGAGCATGCTCTTATGTGGTGCTCGAGCACAAACTATATCATCGTGGATTTTCCATTCCACTTTTGAAGTGTGTCGAAGAATCCGCGGTCCCTGAGATACTACGAGAAATCCACGAAGGAATCAACTCCCAACACATGGGCGGAAAGTCCCTAGCGCGAAAGGCGCTGCGGGTAGGATACTACTGGCCGACCATGCAACGATATGCCAAAGAGCATGTCAAGAGGTGTGACAAGTGCCAGAGACACGCTGACATGCACCTCGCTCCCCCGTACAAGCTAAATACGCTATCGTCTATGTGGTCATTTTCCTGGTGGAGAATGGACATCCTCGGACCGTTCGTACAAGGAACATACCAAAATAAATTCCTCATCATGGCTGTAGACTATTTCACCAAATGGATAGAGGTCGAAGCCCTAGCGAAAATCACCTCGTACAACATCCTCTGTTTTTATAAACGAAACATGCTCGCTCGATTTGGGATACCACAAGTGCTCGTCACGGACAACGACACACAATTTACCGACCAAGGTTTCCAAAGCTTCATCGCCAAACTCGGCACCAAGCAGCATTTACCTTAGTCGAGCACCCCCATACCAACGGGCAAGCCGAAGCCACGAACAT